AAGAGTGGGAAAGGAATAAGGGAGAGGAAGAGTAGCATTATTTCATTTATATGCTGTTGATTTTTCTTCTTCTATGTTACTTATGAAACTACATTCTTCCATTAGAAATAAATTCAGACATGGTATTTAAGGCAAGTGATAATGAAAAAGTTTCTAAAAATTTTGTAAGCTATTCCAAGTTGAATTGATATGCAAATGTTACTATGCTTTAATACCAAAACAAATAAATGTTACTATGCTTTTAATACCAAAACAAGTAAATATCAGATGGAAAATAAGAGGTTAGAGTCATAATAAGTAAATCCAAATGTATAAAACAAGTAGATTTCAATTGCATTTAATTATTTCAACCAATCACCTAGAAGTGAAGATCCTCTAAAGAAAATTGCATTGCCTTCCCAACTCCTTGGAGAGCCAGTTTAGTTAACAGCCTACCTATGCTTCAGAGATGACCATGCAGCTTACATGTCAAACTCATTTTAAAGTGTCAATCATGTCCCTTTCAATCTAATTAGTTTGGAAAGTAGTGTCACTGACCTGAAACTATGCAGACCATTTATTATCATATCATTTGATCAACCTACCACTTTACCACAGTTGAGTTTGAGACACCTGTAGCCGAAATTTAATATCCTTTCTCCCATTCATTACTGGTAATTCTCAATACAATTTCCTATTTACAACTCAATTTATCTTTATGAATAAGCATGGGCAACTTCACAGGGGCATTCCCAGAATCTCTCTTATTTAAGATTTTATATCAAGTAGAAAAATAAAGGAAGAGAACAGCAGAGGACTATGGATATGCTGGGAGAAATTTGGAGCCATAAATATAGAATATTGTTTGGGAGTGGAGGATCCTAACAACAAACTATTACATAAAAAGAGGCTGTAGGTTTATTCTCATCACATGTGTTTGTTTTATAACAAAGGAAAACTTTCTCAGATTCATAGCATTTAACCTGACTTTAACCTGGTCAAGGGAAGAATGAGCTAGGACTGAAGAGGTGAAAACTAGTTCAGCAGTCAGAGAACACAGCCAAGTGCCTCTGAGGTAGGTGCAAATGACAGACCACAGTGAGACTGAGTTGGAATAGGGCGGGGTTTAGAGGTGGGAGTAGACAGGGAGGTGATGGCATGACGGCTGGAATAAGCTGGTCAAACAACAGAGGTCACCTAGCCCATTCCCTGGCAAGAGCATGAAAATTATCTAATCTTTTTCTCATTTAAGTTTTATATATTTAAGAACGGATTTGCAAGACAAAAATGCAAGAGAGTCATCTTGTCTCTGAACTATGGAATAACATATTGCATCAGGGAAGGATAAAAATATTCACATGCATTCATGTATACCACCAACATGTTTATTCATATTTTAAAATGTGGCATTAATAAAAAAAAAGAAGTATAACAACTATATTTAAAGCAATGACTCTTTACTCTAGAAGACGATCATCTAAAAGCAGGATGTGAGAGACCAATGCTTCCTTTTCTGTCTTGCACTTTTCTTTGGGGACATTAAGCTGCATTTTACCAAAATTCCTGTTTGTCTGAGGATAAACAAGACTCTTCAATTATGTTTGCTTGTTCGAATAATTACTAGTGAGTATGATTTTACATCTGGTCAAATAAAATATGCATGCAGCTCAAACTTACCTTCAGGTGAAGAGCCTGTCTTTTGGGAAAAGATAGCATTCACTTTACTCTTCTTACTGATATCGCTGTTTACAGACAAGCTGGACTGGATTTTTCTATGCATTTTTTGAGAAACAGGTGCTGAGAGTTTGCGGTGATCTGCGGATACATGTTTGGCCCCATGGGGAATTCCATTTCCATTGCTCAGACTTGTGTGGCCATTCTTTATCTTGCCTATTTCCTCCTCACTTGATTCCTGTACTAAAGGCTGAAGCTGAGGCAAGCGCTGAGGTTGGGCTAAATTAAAAAAAAGAGAAAAACAACAAAAAAAATAGGAATAGTTTATGCAGTTAAGAAAAAGGAATTCATTTTCTTTTAAAAATGACAATATATTCAGTAACAGAGATGTGGTATTTAACCCATGATACGAAAACCAATGATACTAAAACCAAAGAGGAAAAGACAAAGAGAAGAAAGGAAGGAAAGGAAGAAGAAAGATGGACAAAGAAAAAATAATTACTAAAAGGAAAACAAAATTAGAGCAGGACCATTAAAAGTGACTTTACACAGGATATAACAAATAGAGCAGTACAGAAAATACTGTTTTCGGTATTTAGAAATCTGAAAAAGTAATTCAACACTTTTCAGCGAATGTTGATTGTTTTTCTATATGCTGGGCCCTCTTTCAGGTGCAGTAGATGAGGCAGTATTACCTCAATACTCCTAATAATGATAAACTACTCAATTATCTTTCAAAATAAAAGGAAAGGAACAATGAATTCAGGTATTCAAAATTGGACAATACGGAGCAAGATACAATTTTTTTTTTCATTCCATTTTAAACCCTGGAGAAGAAAGTCTTTTTTCTATTTGTTACTTAATTTGATTTTAAAATAAGCCATTTATGAAAAGAGAACTTCCTTAATCTGATAAAAAATGTCTGTCAAAATTAAACTGCAACACAGAAGTCGTAGCCCTCCAATCTGAGTGAGGACCAAGCACAGAATGCTCACCTCCCCCTCCTGTGCAACATTACATTGGAGGTCCTAACAATCTGAAAAAGTAATTCAACACTTTTCAGCGAATGTTGATTGTTTTTCTATATGCTGGGCCCTCTTTCAGGTGCAGTAGATGAGGCAGTATTACCTCAATACTCCTAATAATGATAAACTACTCAATTATCTTTCAAAATAAAAGGAAAGGAACAATGAATTCAGGTATTCAAAATTGGACAATACGGAGCAAGATACAATTTTTTTTTCATTCCATTTTAAACCCTGGAGAAGAAAGTCTTTTTTCTATTTGTTACTTAATTTGATTTTAAAATAAGCCATTTATGAAAAGAGAACTTCCTTAATCTGATAAAAAATGTCTGTCAAAATTAAACTGCAACACAGAAGTCGTAGCCCTCCAATCTGAGTGAGGACCAAGCACAGAATGCTCACCTCCCCCTCCTGTGCAACATTACATTGGAGGTCCTAACAAAAGCAATAAGCCAGAAAAATAAATATAAGTCTGAATTCTGTAAAAGGAGAAGAAACATTCGAGGTGTGTATAGATTTCAATGTTCTAGAGATAATCTAAGAGACTATAAATGATGGAAAACCAAGAATTTAGCAAGTTTTTACAGGATCAATCATACAAAAATCAACCATGTTCCTATATGCCAACAGTGACCAAAAAATTTGAAAGAAAAAATTAACCCTTTATAGTAGCAATAAAAGAAAAAAAAGCCAACAAACAAAAAACACTGTTAAGGCTCTAGGGATAAAACTATTATAGGAAAAAAGGGACAGAGAGTTTACAATAAAAATGATAAAACTTTACAGAAGGTCATAAAAGAAACACAAATAAATGGAGAATATTGAAATGTTCCTTCTTTGTAATTTATGTAGTTAATGTAATTCCCTTTAACTTTTCCAGCATGCTTATTGAGTTTAGAAGTTGATTCAAAAACTTATAAAAATGTATAATCAAGAGTCACCATGGACATTTTAAATGAAGAAGAGGGCTGTGGGACTCGACTTACTAGATATGAAATAGTATAAAATTACCATAATTAGGACCATCTGATGGTATAGTGATTAAGGCAGCTGGATCCCACATGGTCAACTGTGTGGTTGGAGTCCTGGACCTAGTGGCTTGAAAAACACTCCGGGTGCATGTACTTGTGTCCCCAAAATCCCAAAAGGAGAATGGAGGAGAAGGGATCATGGAGTGGTCAAGCCCTCTCAGGAGTAATTTCTCATCTTCTGTATCTTTCTCTCTGTCTCTCTCCCTGGTGAGTGTATGTGCCCTACAGCAAACAAACAAACAAATTACCATAACTAAAGCAGTGTGGCAATGGATCAGGTACAAACATAAAAACCAATGGAAGAGAAGAGCTCCAAACACACAGGTATGTGCACATCTGCGAGGTCTTCAAACAGTTCATGGGAAAAGTATATTTTGAAAAAAACTGTGTTGAATTTCAAAATGGTTTGTGCCAAAATAAACTTGGACTGTAATTCCATTTTTCCACAAATCCTTTGAAGTCACTCTGTATGTAGGTGTACACATGTATATGCCCATATACCTCATATGAATAAATCCCACAGGTAATAAATGCCTTAGTATGAAAAGCAAACTTTCTAAAGTGAAAATATAGGGAACTATTAAGGTTGTCCAAAAAGTCATGACACATTTTTGCTTAGAAAAACATAGACAAATACATCGTGACTTTTTGACAACCCAATACTTTAATAGCAGAATAGGAAAGAAGGACAAACAAACTAGATAGAGTCATGAAAAAAGTGGGGTAAATATTCAACGTTTGTGTTGCACAGCATTTCTGAGTACTTTCACAGACTTTTGGTAAATTTCTCTATCTCCCATCCCAGAATACTCTGCAATGACGGGGCAGGTATGTGACTAAAGTCCTAGCAAGCCAAAGTACAGCTTGCATTCAGAAAGAGTCAGCCACACCACACAGGTAGGGCCTCTGCACAGAAAACAGCGGTGTGTTGGTCTGGGCAGGAGAGAGCAGTCTCTAGGGTCCACTAAGCAGGACAGCGACCTGATGACGCAGCAGTGGGGTTGTGATCCGAGAAGCCCTACGAAGTGGATAAACCTAATTCTTAGCTCTGTAACTGTGGGAGACTCTATCGGCTGCTAACAAACTTATTTTCTATTTAAATTAGCTCAGATAAACTCTAGTTTTGGCAACTAAAAGACTTGATGCTTTCCAAAACGTATCTGTTTATATTAAGTCATTGAGCTAATTAATTAAAATGAACATTTATTGGGCCAGCGTGGTTAAGGCAGCTGGACCCACATGGCTGACTGTATGGTTTCAGTCCTTGTCCAGGCAGCTTGCAAAAGAGAAACAAAACAAAAAGCACCAGCACATATGCGTGTGTGCCCACAATTCTGAAAGGAGGGAGAAATCAGGAGGACGATTGTAGCATGAGCAGCCCCTTTTCCCCATGGTCAAGGGTGGGGATGTTGTCTCACCATCTTTCTCCAGAAAACATACGTGCCCCCTGGCAAACTTCTTTTTTAAAAAAATTAACATTTATCTTGACTGTGTAGAGCTTAAGCTTTCAATATAAGTCACAATTTTTTAGCAAAAACACTGGCAAGCAATAACAAAAACAAACATTAAGAATTTATTTATTTTTTTTTTTAAGATAGAAGTTTTGGGAGGTAGTGTTGTTATATTTTGATCAACTCAACCGGGGAGAAATGTTCATATATTGAAATGATCATCTTGTAAGCTAAACAATGTGATTGAATGTATTAAAAAATGTAAATAAAAAAAATAAGTTTTTGCTATAGGGAGCATGCGCTTACCAGAGAGACAGAGAGGTGGAAAGAGAGAAATTATCCCCTGGGGGGATGGTCACACCACAATTCCTTCTCCTCCACTCTCCTCTCAACATTCAGAGCACACATGCACACGTGTCCGGCATAAGTTTTAAGTCACTGAGTCGGGGACTTGAACTGCTATTGACTGTGTGAGAGTCCAGCAACATAACTGCTATGCCATCTGCTGGTCTCAAGAGATTTTTTTCTACTCTAAATTTCAGTATCTAAAATTACAGTTGTATTTTCTGTATGTGATTATGAGCAATTATGAAATGTAAATTAAATATGACTACTAATAACGCTTTAGAACAAGTACTTTAAAACAAGTACTGTATGCAAAGCTGCATCAGTTATGTATAGGAATGATAAATGTCTAAAGAGGGCTTATCTGTAGTCTGGGGACTAGCTAAAACTTGGTGTGTATTTTTGACACAAAAAGGCAGTTTGTATTTGAGTAAGTTTTAGTATACCATTCTTCCCTTCTTGTTCACATATCCTACGTATGTGAAGAAAAACATCTCAACATATCAAAATATATTCATGAATGTGTATAGTTCAAGAAAAAGGAAAGATTCTTTTTTTTTTCTTGCTTAACAAAAAGCACACTTTCATACCAACTCTATTATACCTGGGTTATAGAATTGATATGAAATCGTCTTAAAGTGTTTTCCAGGTATTTAATGATAAAGGGAACTAATTGTCAAAAAAGCAAATATCTGTTTAGCAGCCATATAACTAAAATCTCATAACTAAAATCTACAATCAAAGCATCTGTAAAAAGAATGTGCAATCGTTTGATCCGGAGATTAATTTGCTGCTCCTGTAATGTCTTGTATCAACTAGAATGACATTCTAATGACTGCTATTGAACATAAAGCTGTAATAGTTATGCATATGTATTTAAAAGGATGCCAGAGAAGACAGTTAAACCCCAATTTGGTGTTCTTTTCAGAGCTCTTCTCTGTAATGTCACCAAATAAATGGAATGTTCTGAGTCAGTGTTTCTCTGAAAAGAATAATTCAAACAACCAGAGAGTTTGGTTAAGTCAATATGTCACTGACCAAGGCTGGGAAGACTCATTTTCAATCAAGAATGTCCTGTCTTATTCCATAATCTAAGATACATTTAGAATTACTTAATGTAATTGTTCAACATTTTCAATAAATAAAAATAAGAGTGGTAAAAGACAACTGTGTCCTTCTACCAAGTTCTAAAATTGACAGATTTGACCTTTTCCTATTATCAAAACTGACTATTTGCAAATTACCGGGTATGGCTAGAGTGATATTCTAACATATGTTTAATGGTTTATCTACATTTCAATCTTTAAAATGATAACTATTTCTGTTGGCAGATAAATGATAGCACATTATTTTTGTTTCACTGTCACCTAATTATTTTTACAATAGTTTGTATTATGGTCAGGTAACCAAGTATTATCTCTTCACTC